CTCGTAACACCTTATTTTGTCGAGAAGGCTAATAAGATGACCTCTGCCAATAAGGATTCGGAAACCCTTCTTGACCGAAACTTGGATAGGTACACAGTCGGCCTCGACGCAGTGCTGTTTATCCAAACTCAAGGTGCTTCTCGGTCGACTGATTCTTCGGCAACAATGTTGTTTATCCAAACTGAAGATGTTTGCCGGTTGTCTTCACAGTGTTGTTTATTCAAATTGAAGATGTGTCAGCGGAAAAAGAAAATAAAAAATCTCAAGATGTTTGAGAGGTTTGCGCAGGGGCAATTGTGTGTTGAATTGGAGAAGCCTTTATGTTGCACAACGCCTTGTATTTATAGGGTTGATATTTGCTTGACACGGCTAGATAATTGTGGAGTCCGACTACAAATCTAACTTGTAGAATGAAATATGATCCGTGTGGCTAACTTTTCAAATAAAAACCCATCTAGGTTTATCCCATCATGACCAAAGACCTATCCTTCCTAGGCTTCTTATCATAACTCTATAACCATCAAATCCTAAGCTTATCACATCACATCAGAAGCCTAGCCCACCTAAGCTTCTTACCTCATCACCAAAACTTTGTCAGTAGACTTTATCCCATGCATGCATAATAAAATGGAATATAATCTCATCATGCATGCCTTATTATCTGATACTTTAAAGACCATTTTCCATTAAACGCATGGCATGCAATTCTTGCACGGCATCAGTCAATCACCTATTCAATCTCATCTGTATCTCCTCATAGTCTTTATCTGACCAACATTTAATTTGCACGCAAATTGTTGCTTAACCAGATAAGAGTCTCAAAGCTTGAGATATAGTTTGCATCCCATTTATCTTCTATAAAAACAATTCTTTACTAAAAGATAATTATTATGACAAAACCATAATATTATCTTCACATTTCCATCCGTCGATCTAGAACTATGCTCAATCAACGGTCTCGATTGCACGGACCGATGGTGTAAATCTGGGTCCAAACACCATGTCCGCGGATTGTCCTTTTTGGGATGTATATCCATGCGGCGACTTTCATGCTTCTGGCATGTAACAGTTATGCTTCGGGAATGCAAAAGTTCAGTAGTGCCATATTCTTCTTCTTTCGAAGGATTGAACATTTTGAGTCTGAGGGTCTGCCATGTTTCAGGCGTGCAACAGATAAATCGTTTACTGCCTCATTATATTGTCCAACAGGGACATTAATTCTTGTAGGCACATTTGCAGTAAGTATTTGTGATTTCATCACTTTCATTGCATCATTAAACGCAGCTGGCATTTGATTTGCATATCGTTGCATCATTCAATTATTCTCACTTCATTTTTATATTGATTGCTTCATGAATCAAAATAAGACAAATTCTCTTCGTTCTTCTGGAATGGTCTTTTCTCATCATTCTTCTGGAATGATATTTTCTCATCATTCTTCTGGAACGATGTTATTTTCTCCCCCTAAAGGTGGGAAAATTGTCTTCTCAAAATGACAGCTCGCAAACCACGCGATAAACATATCCCCGATCAAGGGTTCTAAATATTGAATGATAGATGATGAATCAAATCCAGCATAAATTTCCAATTTGTGTTGATGTCTCATTTTAATATATTGTGGCAGTACAATAGGCACATAGATAACACAACCAAAAACTCATAAATGTATAATGTTTGGCTGGTTCCTAAACACGAGTTGCATTGAGAAGTATTGATGGTTGGAGACAGGTCCTAACCAAACTAATAATGCATCATGACATGTCACCATTTAGAAAACTTAACAATTTTGTTTTCATGAGCAAAGCACAGGTAATCAATTTCATCTGCTAAATAAATGCTTCTGCTAAACCATTTTGAGTATGGACATGAAGAACTTCTGGTCTTTATTTAATAGTCTGTAGACTGAGACTCTTATGACTTTTATTGCAATTAAGTTGTGGCACTTTAGCTCTTCAAACTTAAGGTACTCATCAAGGAACTTCATGTCCTGATCTTGAGGATCTAGGGACTTCATGCCTGATCTTAAGGATCTAGGGACTTCATGCCTGATCTTTTTACATGATGGAACTTCGGGTCCAATCATTTTTATAGTTGTTCACCTTTTTCTTAAAAAATCATTTTCTATAGTTGATAGGTTTGTTGCTTCATTTTCTTAAAAAATCATTGGCTTTTGGTCGAATATTTTTGCAAGAGGTAATAACAATCATTGGCAGTAACCACCTTCGTAGGTTAGACTTGGAAGCATGATTTGCTACCAATAGGGAGTGATAAGAGAGAACTTATCAAATTGAACACGAGGGGTGTTGTTAGGCCTTCTTTTAACTTAGAGCGATTTTGTCAAACATTTTAACGTGGCGTGTTATAATGAATAGAAAAATTATCAAAATACATTAAGCTAGAATTCACTAGCAAATTGAAATTCGCCAATAATTGAGAAAATGTCAAAATTTGTCATTGATTTGATATGTCAATGAGGAATTAGGCCAAAAATGCATATATGTCAAGACAAAGTGACGTCTCTTATTCGTCTTACTGTTCTCTTCAAAACAACAAGTCATGAGCCTAAATCGAACGTCAAAACCAAATCTCTAATGATTGGGCCTTGCTACTAATTTTACGTCTTTCCAACCTTCCTTTAATCAATTTAGCCTTCTATTCTACATCACATCTTACCAAAAAAAAAATGTAAACGATTTACGTATGAAACCAAATCAATGGAATAAAAACAAAAAATTAAAAGTTTGTTGGGTCCTATGTATATTGCCTCCATTGTGTCTTTGCTGGTGTTCATCACCTAATTGAATGTCAAGAAAATTGAATGGGAGCTCAAATCTCTACAATAGCAACTAAAACATAGGATATTAGTATCATTAGCTCTAATTGGGTCTCTAAGAATATGATATTTTGTATTAGTACAGAGTTTACAACCACTTAACACCATGATCAAGGAACTAATTATAATCCCAACTCGAACGCAAGGATTTAGGATTATACACATACTATTGGGTTAAACTTAATTATTTCATTAATTAAATACTAATTTGATATGAGGAAGTTGTTCTCAAATCCAAACATTCGACAAACTGATCTGGTGTTTTTGTTCTTATGCAACAAGTGGACGATTGCTAAATCAGTTGATATCATTTGCTAATTTGATTTAACTTTTTTATTCTTTTACTGTTGTAGAAGTATATTCTCCGTTAAAGGATGGTATCTAAGCAAATAATCATCAAAATTTGTACGATATAAGCATAAAATCAACACCAAAAGCCAACACGATCATCTTCAGATTTTTTTGGTGAGAATCATGGGGATCATTAAATCTTGTTTATTCATCGTATATCATACGGTCTATTTTTATCAAGTATTGTTTATATTTATTTTTAAATAAAAATATTTAAAATGATTGCTGACCGGACGATATACAATGAACGAACACGATTCAAGGATCCTCGAAATCCTCACAAAGAGGATCTTACGAGAGTCCGGACTCCACCAAAAGTATAAGCAGAGAATCCTATTCACGAGGAATGTTAAAGAGACTTTAAAAAAAAAAAAAAAAAAAAAAAAAAAAACTCTTCATAAACTCTCTACCACTTCATGTTTTTTGTATAATATTTTATAATGTTGGTAAAAAAATTAACTGTGATATGATAAAAAATCTAAAAAATCTCATTTTAAGAGAATTCCCTACACATTTCTGTTTTAAAGTTGAATAACTCTCCTACTTGTTTGAGTGAGCCGTGGCCCCTGGTACAAATATAAGAGGACCTGGTACAAATACAAGAGGACCATTGGACCCCCCCCACCCCCACAGACCCACTCACAGCCCTGTACTTTTTCCACCCAATCCATTCAGCCCCAATGAATGGCTCAAAAATATTTGGGTGCCAGAGAGTGTCTATGTATTTTAACAGTTAGATATTATTTTTTTTAATATTTTTAAATAAAGATTTAACAGTTAAAATAAATAGAGTATGGAGTCTTTTCCAAAAAAGTCCCATGAAGGAATTTATCACAAACCCAAATGATGAAACACCGAAACTTCACATGTAAGATAAGCAATTTCTCGACGTACTAATTAGTCATGTGTAATATTATTCAACTAAAATCATACATGAAATTTTCTTTTAATATTCCATAGAAATATAACGTATCGGTTTTTATCATCTTATTCTTTATGTGAAAGGAATACTATAGCTTTCCCTGATACTTTAAAGTTTTATATGAAGATGTATAACATGAGGAGAATCTTCGAGCTAAACTGGAGGGAAAAAAATTAATAAATATACTTAACTTGTAAGTGGCGTATTGATTGGGTGGTTAGAACCTTCAACTTATTGCTTTTCAAATTTATACCGTCCATTTTATTAATGTAACTTACAATCGTAATATCGTTTATGGTATAAAAAAAGTAGCACAACTAAACTTCACAAGACAAGAAAAAAGACTCGAAGAAGATATAGAATTGGAGACAACATTGTGAGAAATTTTTCAATATGATCAGTACACATAATGATACATCACGTGTTACTATATAAATATTAAAACACGTGATGTACCACTCATGTTTCGATTACAAAAAAATTTCTCCTGCATGCCCACCGTCACAGAGTTGGGATGAGGGCTCGAATCCACGTGTCAAAAAACCCGCATGCCAGTCCAAAATCCGGCTGGACCTCACAGGCTTGCAGCCTCACCAGCACCCGTAGATACCAAAAAACCAAGAGAGAATCCAAAAACCAGGCCCCCAAAACGGAAAAAAAAAAAAAAATCTGCCCTCGATGGGGGAATCGATTCCTCTGGTTAAATTCTAACCCTAGGGTTCCAAAAATCTCAAGACAACCAACTTATCGTCTTTATAAATTCCCCATGTGTGGACTGAGCTCCTTGTAATTCACGACAAAATTTACGGGGCTTCGCTTTTGGCTGCGTGTGAAATCTTCTATGTCAGTGTCGCATTGTGAGAGTGGGAACACAGGGTTGCATGCGGGTGGTTGTGGGTCTGCAAGGTCGTACTGGCTTCTGGGCTCGGCGACGGAGCCATGGCGATTAAGAAGGCGTGCGAGTCGTTCTCAAAGAGCTTGATCGACGAGGTGCAGAGATGGGGCTGTATGAAGCAGACGGGGGTGAGCCTCAGGTACATGATGGACTTCGGGTCCCGGCCCACGCAGCGGAATTTCATAATCTCGGCGCAGTTTCTGCACAAGGAGCTCCCCATTCGGATTGCCAGGCGGGCGACTGAGCTCGAGAGCCTCCCTTACGGCTTGTCTGAGAAACCTGCCGTCTTGAAGGTGCTTTCTTTTTTTTTGTTTTTGTTAAATTATGCATTTTTTTGGCTCTTGGAATCGAATTGTGAGAAATGGGATTTGGGTTTTAGTTAGTTTGTGGAACAGAATAAAGGGTTAAAATCTGTATTAATTGTTATATTATTATTTATTTGAATGTACCATAAAAGGGTTGTGAAAAGTTGGGCTGCATATCCACTTTAAGTTAATTTTTAATTTCAATTTTATTTTTAATTTTCAGAATGTGGTTCTGGTAGCTTGGTTTAAAGTTTTAGTTCATTGCATATAGAATGTGAAGGATGGATCTTTCTGCAAATTGCTATGTGGGTTTTTGTCGAATATTCATTGACTACTTTGTTTATGAATATGTGGAGTTTTGTTCTCTGACTATGTAAGTTAAATTTTTTTTCCATTGATCAAGGTACAGTTACTTAGTGAGGACAATGTGAAAAACTTTGCTAGTAGGTCTATGCGATTTTCGAGTTGTCTGCAACATCAATATTCAGTGTAACCGCGAGCGAATTGCTTGCGGTTGATTGTTCTTGTTGCAGCCTGCTATAATATTAGTTCATCTGAGCACTTGTTTTTTAGCCTTTTAAATTTTGGACGGTGAACTATGCCGGAACTATATTTTAAATGCAAGTGTTTAAGAATCAGATATTACAAGGATGTAATTTTGCTTTATTTTGTTTTCAGGTACGGGACTGGTATTTGGATTCCTTCCGTGATCTTAGAACCTTTCCTGATATCAAGGATGCTAAAGATGAGAAGGATTTTACACAAATGATTAAGGCGATTAAGGTGAGACACAACAATGTTGTCCCGATGATGGCTTTGGGTGTTCAGCAGTTGAAGAAAGAGAAGATTCTACATGACGGTCTTGATGAGATTCACCAATTTTTGGATCGCTTCTACTTGTCAAGAATTGGGATTCGCATGCTTATTGGTCAGATTGCCTTCTTACTGTGATTTTTTTAGCTGGCCGGCTTTGCAAGTTATGTCACTTTTCTTTCAGCGGGTTCTAACATCTCTAAAACTCAGGCCAGCATGTTGAGTTGCACAATCCTAATCCCCCTCCTCATTGCGTGGGTTATATCGATACAAAGACATCTCCCATGGAGGTAGCACAAAATGCCACTGAGGATGCCCGCTCAATCTGCCTACGTGAGTATGGCAGCGCACCTAATGTTACTATCTATGGGGATCCCGATTTTACATTCCCGTAAGTATATTTTGTTCTCACTCAATTGGGTCTGCTTCTAATTGAATCGGTTTTACGTTTCCACAAGTATATTGTTCTTTATACTATCCTGATATCTATGTGACTCTTTACTTTGAACCCAATAGTGGTGGCTAGTGATATATTATTATCAGACAAAAAAAGTCCTGTTTGTTTTCATAACAGGTATGTTCCAACACACTTGCATACTATGGTCTTTGAGTTGGTTAAGAACTCCTTACGTGCTGTCCAAGAGCGTTTCATGGACTCCGATAAAGTTGCACCTCCTGTTAGAATAATAGTGGCTGATGGAATTGAGGATGTCACTATCAAGGTATTATTTTGTTTGATTCAGAGAATTTCATTTGTTTATTAAACCAATTTCTGTGAAATGCTTGTCAATGAAGTGCTTATCAAATTGGTACGGCTGACTTAATAGGTCTCGGATGAGGGGGGTGGCATACCAAGAAGTGGTCTCCCCAAGATTTTTACGTATCTTTACAGCACTGCCCGTAACCCTTTGGATGAGCATTCAGATCTGTCGGACGCTGATGCAGTTACAATGGCTGGATATGGATATGGGCTTCCTATTAGCCGCTTGTATGCTATGTACTTTGGAGGGGATTTACAAATGATCTCTATGGAAGGATATGGTAAGTTGTCTGAGTTCTCGTACATGTTCCATTTAGTTACACACAATATGTGGGGCGTCGCAACCACAGTCATACTGTTTGTTGCACCTTTGTTTCTTCGTATGAGTTATGAAAAAGGGGTATATTCTGACAATAGCCTTAAGCTATTGTAATTAAACACAATACTTGTCCATGTCAATGCCTAGTCATCAGCACGTTTCACGCACCGAAAATTGTACAAGTGATCCACATTGTTGCATTCAGAATATTACACATTATTAGCAAGGCTTTACAATCGAAGTCTTACAATTTGTTTGCAAGGGCTAAAGACCGTCGATGTCATTAGTTCATCATCTTATTGTTTTCACTTACCTCGTTAGAGTCGGCTGTCTTTGTCTTTTTGCCTCATTTGCACTGCGCTTCATCCACATTTTCCAAGCCCGTTGTGTTTAGAATACTTGTACATGATTGTGGAGGACTTTCCCTTCTGAGAGTCGAAGGGTTAGTTCTTATACACTTCGATTACACCATATTCTATAATTTCAAATTTTAACTGAAAAAACACGTGCATCTTGATCTCTCTTTAACATCACCTGTCATTTTCTTTCACTTCATCCGCCGATATCTTCTCACGTATAGCCGTCATGTATGTACAGGGACCGACGCGTATCTGCATCTGTCTCGCTTGGGAGATTCTCAGGAGCCATTGCCATGATGTGATCTTGTGTTTCAACGTTGATGACTACGATACAGTTGAATTCTTAAATTAATTCTGGGAGTGTTGCAAGTAAAAGGTGCCATGTATACACGTTTATTGTCAAATTGCTGTCATTTTTTTTATATTTTTTCTAATAGAAGTTGGCAGTCATTCTTCTGTATCTTCTGTGTGGTCTTGCCTCACCAGGTCGGAAAATGATAAACACACAACCTTTTTAGCATCTCGTATACCCCTATCTGATTTTGTTTATAGTTTTTGATTGATTTATTCAATCCGACATTTATTACTTCATTTCATGTAAGTAAACATGTCGTGAAAAGCAACGCACCCGCCACCAAAGGAGACAAATAAGTTGAAGCAAAAATCAAAAGGAAACCAGAAGCCTCCTTAAGCAAATGACCATGGCCGCTACCGCATGCTGGTGGAAATCATATCCAGAGGCTACAGGGCTACAAATCATCAATAATACCTTTCTTTGATTGTCTGTATAACAGAAACCAATCTCTCTCCAGCGTTTCAAAAATTTGGTAAACGACGTGAAGTGAAGAAGTGAAGATATATCAGTGCCTTCTTTGCTTTGCACGCTGATACGACCCTTTCCCTTTTATCTTCCATTTTTCATTTCCACCGGGCTGGTTTTTCTCTTCTATCTCGCGAACCTTCCGCTTTCTGTAAGGTGGACCGAGGAAATAAGTAAGGGCATGATAGGAATAAAACTCGTGAAAGTAAGCATAAGTAATCATTTTTCGCACACAAACAAAAGGTTTTCTTCACTAATTGTATTTCTTTCATTTTAACTTATCCTCAGATCTTTAAAGTGACAAACAAAATTTCAAAACATTTTGTCAAGATTCCTTGTACTGTTCCATCACGGTCTTCCACTAGGCATGACCGTGCCATGATCGTCCATGAACTGCCTTTTTTCAGAAAAAAATATAAGTTTTAACTTTTTCGGATGCCAAAAGAATCATCCTTAAACATATGGTTTCAGAATTTGGAAAACAGTAGATGTCTCTGGCTGTCTTATTACCTGTAGTTCCCAAGGTTACGATCAGAAAGCACTTCCTCTGCAAGGGATACCTTCCTTTCCTTCTTTGTCAGTCTGCTCGAGAAGAAATCTAATGGGGACTCTATCACTGTCCCTACCTGATAAACAACCAAAAGGCAGATAACCTCGTCAAATATACTAATACATCCTATGAATGGCTTCTTGTAATGTTATTGTGGTACCATATTCTAACCTGGAAATACTTGTTCGGTTGTGCATCCCCCTTTTTGTAATGTCTCTTTGGATCCATAACATTCCTTAACTGCAATTAGAAAATTGAATCAGCCAACTATACTTCCTTTTAACAACAACGAAAGCATAAGATTACACCAAAAGATAAACGAAACAATAAAACGCAGAAGTTATAGTTATAGTAATCCTTGCAAATGGATAAACCCTATATCAATAAGCCAGCAAAATGGTGCATGATCAGGCATACATCCCACTAGGTTCAAATAAATGTCAATTGATACGCTTTAGAATGGTAATGGTCTGAATGATACAGGAATCATGGAAGCATGCAAAATTACTGAATGTCGGAAGGGGTTCCAGATTCCAAAGAATTACCATCTTGTTTAATGTTTCGACGAACATATGGTTTCCAGATGGACAAGAAAAACAACTTACTATTGAATGTGCTAGCATCTAGATGGTTCATTTTCGTTAAAACCAATTTGACAAGGACTCGGAATCATACCAAAGTAAGTGTACCATCAAATGTAAACTTCCAAGTGAGATTCGCTTTTATTACATTCTCTATACTAGAGATTGGAGTTGAAAGACTGTCCCGTGTTTATTACTTCCAAGGTTGATGCAAAAACATGGTAACAACAACTATAACCACAAAAACTTCTAAAAACACAGATTACTATGAGTAAAATCCATACCGAGGCAAGAGCAAAACCGAGAAAACAAGGAATGCACATGACTACAACATTGTGCCAATGAAAGATAACAGAAACACAAGTTGCCATACCTTGAGTAATTGGAGATCTTTCTGCAACTCCGGGGTCATGGTTGGTGCAGACATGTCAAACCTAAATCAGAAAACACATTACCAAACACCGAAAACAATATAGTTTCAATCGACGGCCAATTATATAGGGGACTCTAACAAAACCCAAGACTAAAGGGAAACATAGTGAATTGAGCTGATGACATACTAGCTTGTTCCAGCAGTGTCTTTGATCTGCTTCTTGGCCAGTTTGTTCCGCTTTATAGGGTCATTCGGCGGAACGAAGATGCCATCGACAAGCTGCGTGCTGGGTTTCCAAAGCGGATTGGCTTCGGGGCGAGGTTTGGAGCCAGACCCACCTCCATTTTTTAAAGTAGATGAAAAAGCCGGCAACTTTGGCTCCCACCAGAGCCCAATCGCCGCCTTGGTTTCCGCCATTCCAGAACGCAATTTACGGAATCGAAACTCGAAACAGCACCTATGGAAATTACACCCATAAGCTAATAGCATAAAGCAGCTTTAATTCCTCGAAAATTTTTGAGAAGAGAAGAAGATAACGTACTGGCGGTGGGTAGCTGCGTTGCTTCACCGACAAGGGAGAGCTTGGCGGCTGAGAAGGGAGGGAGACTGAAAAACCAGGCTTCGTGAGGATGCAGCGTCGGAGAGAGAGGAAGAGTTGAGAAGGGAGAGAGAGAGTTGAGTGATCAGTCAAACGGGTCGGCCCAGACTAAATGCAGCAACCCAACAGGGCAGTGAAAGGCTATTTCCAATTAGAGGAATGCTATACAGGCCAATGTGTGTTTCAATTAAATGACGTGAAAATTAATGGTTAAATTATTTGATTAGTGTGCTTATTTTTTATTTGTGACAAATCATTTAATTTGTAAATTTGGTCTATAATATTAGTCTACTTAGAATTATCTTTCCAATTATGCCCTTTGCGTGTAGGGATATTAAATGTGTTTTTTATTTTTCACAATGGATTGTTTTCATGTCGAGTTATTTTTACTCACCAAGTACTGCTATTGCTCACTACCCTAATTTTTAGGTTTGACACTTTATTAAAATAATGTAAGGGAGTGGGGAGTTTCAAACCCGAGACGCATAAGTGGAAATACGGCATCCTACCACTAGGATTTTGGCGTTGATAAGGCTTTGGAATTCTGATGAAAAAAGCGGTTGAATGAGCAACATTACAGGAAAAAGGCTGAAGAATATTGCACGTAAGGACGCCCTGTTTTACTTCAATAAGATAAGTAACTTGCGGAACAAGTAAGCTGGAATATAATCACACAGCTAAGGCAGAGCTTCCTCACCACCATTACTTTTTGCGTTAGCTGAAGGTCCACATCTTGCTAATCACTCATGTCAATATGGAAAAAGTTCACATCGCCATCCGCCTCCTCCTCCTCCTCCTCCTCCTCCTCCTCATCATCATCATCGGTGGCAACACCAGCATTGGCTGGATTGACATCTCCATCGGCCAAGGTTACCAGCTCAATGGATCCATTCCTCGTCTCTCCATTTGCCATTCCACATTTGTAATCAACAAGATCATTCTCGTATTCATCAACCTGTTCGATTTCGTTGTAAAGGACCTCCTAACAGAGAAAAGATAAAGAATTTGATTTCAGACAAAATGTAATTTCCTGTTACTTAATGAACAAGCTTCCAGAGTCATTTGCACATAACTAAACCACTGTGCCGAATAACAGAATCTAAGCTTGAAATACCTCATTTTCTAGCAAGTCATTTTCCGCAGCATCTACAATCCAGTCATCTAGCAACCGATCTATCACCACATTGTCGAGGGAGATTGAATTTTCCGGCCTTCTTCGTAATTGCTGTTCTCTAAGACGCAAATTGTAATGAACATAGATGAGCTCTTTTAATCTTTTTTGAGCTAAACGATTACTTCTTAGACTGTACAATTGATCGTATGTACTCCAGTTATGCTCACACCCAAAAGAAGAGCATGTCTGACTCAATATACGCACAGCTATACGCTGCAGCTCTAAGCAACTTATCCCATGTTGCTGCCACCATGCAGCTAATAGGAAACAAGAAAAGGAGAAATGTATCAGCAAGTGGAATAATGCCCAGAGATTCAACACATGGGAATGCATATACCAGAACTCTAAAACGTGTAGCATGACAGTCTAATGCTATACCTGGATCAAGCTCTGTTCTTGTACTGATTGCCAATTCGGTTCCAAAATCAGCTTTAGCAGAATTGTAATCAGAAATCTGAGGTGTTGGGATACAGAATGGGAGAATACAATAAGACGTCATCTCAAGATATAAAACCATTCAGCATCCAAATAATCCATTCCAGTAAGAAAAAACTATTACCTGCATAGATGCAGAAATCCTATTTGAATGGTCTGGCTCCAGCCGAACAATGCATTCGTTAAGTCCACGCATCACCTCAGTGTGCTACACAAATTACCATCTGGATTAGGAAAGAACTTAACATCATGAATAAAAAACACAAACAACCATTGTTTCTCTTACCGCCATAAAATCAGGTTGATATCTGTATGATGGATTTAAGTAGTAAGCAGCTACATATACGGGGTGGTAGAACAGCGAGTTCCAATGACTTTCTATAACGCTCCAAAATGGTTCATACTTACGGACCTTATTACCATGAATGGCTTTTATTGCAATCTTTGCCCTGCACATGTCATTGTATATAGATGACATTGGCAAGCAGTCACCACTCTCAACCTTTTGAAGAATTTGCATTATCGGGTTCACTGAATTCCTAACAAACTGTAACTTCTTCCAAAATGCAGCATTTAAGACGATATTTTCCACCTGTTTTCCCTCAAATGATTTGGAGCACTGTGATGAAATCCATTTGTTTGATTGAAACATTCTTTTAAGACCAGTCTTGTGGTCCAACAAGCTTTGTAAGGTAGCAAAGCTAGAAGCAAACCGGGTAATAGATGGTCTCAAAAGTTCCTTCCCCTGTGTAAAATCACTCTTCATAAAATTTAACAACCAAACATGGTTGTAAATGAGCTTCGTAACTTTTTGGCCTGTCTCCATGCACTCCGCTACACTTCTTATCCTCAAAAAATCTTCAAGCATTTGATCGATACAGCTGGTGGCACATGGGGTCCAGAATAAATTCTTTCTCTTCTCCTCAAGCATCTTTCCAGCAGCTTTATAACTAGGAGTATTTGGAGTGATTACCTGGGGATTAGACGCAAAACAAAGTTAGTAGCTAGCGGATCACAGTTTGAGATGAGCAACTACATAAGAAACAAATAAAATCAAATACCTGAACTACATTTTCCTCCCCCATCTCTTCAACGACTTTGTCCAGCAACACAAACAAATTCAAAGCATCTTCAACTATTTCAGTGGCATCAACTGAAGAAACAAAGTACACACCATTTGGACCGGAAGCCAAAAAGTTTATCAATATTCTACCCTCTGTGTCTCTCCAACTGTCAGCCATGATAGAACAGCCAGTGGTTGCCCAAGATGCCTTATACTCAGCCAGGTAGTTTCTAATGGTTGCAATTTCCTCTTGTAGAAACCGACCAGATATTAATTGACTTGGAGGTGCTACCAAACCCTGCCCATATTGGCCAACCAATTCCAGCATCTTATGAAAGTATAAGGAGTCTGCTGCTTGTTGAGGAACTCCTGCATGGTAAAAGAATTTGCAAATTCCAGAAATAACTTCCTTGTGGGAAATTTTATTTGACATTGTTCTGACCCTTCCTTGCTTGTAAGATTGTGGTGGCAAACTCTTAGAAGCTGTCACGAACAGGGAATCGAGCCTTGATCTTTTAAATAATGGTTCAGAACCAATACTGGGCAGCGACAAGAATGTATTTCTCACATTTTGGCCCAATCTCCTATCACCATCGATCAATCTTTCCTGGTTCATATGTGGCAGAACAGCTTCCATTTGGTCATCGTCTTGGTCTTCATTATCTGACAGAGGATCAAAATTTGACGTGTCCTTGGAATCTGGTTGTCTCTGTCTCCTTCCAGTACGATGCCATTTCATATTCTCTTTTATTTTAACATAGACATTGTCAGGAGCATGTTTACAAGGTGCTACTTCTCCAGGAATTCTAGCTAAATGTTGTTTAAACCGATTGATACCACCACTAACTATTTTCTCGCAATAATTGCATTTCACCTTTTTCTTTTTCTCATCCTGAGCAACGCCGTGTTCCCACCCAGGGTCAACATACCCTAACGATCGAAGAGGAGTCAATTTCATAGATAAATTCCTCTCACCCACCAATTGTTTTCCTTTGCTTCTATAGCCAACATGCACATCTTCTTCATCATTAGATTGAAAATTCAAATATGCTTGGCCAATATCATCGGAAAGCCTAGGTTTCTTATGAGAACGACTTCCTTCCATATTTGTTTTCATACTCGAGTATACATCGTCCGGAGCTTTATCACAATAAGTAACTTCTCCAGAAACTCGGGCTAAATGTTGCTTCAATCTGTATATTCCACCACTAACTATTTTTCCACAGTAATTGCATTTAACCTTTTTCTTCCTCTCATCTTGAGCAACACCATGGTCCCATCCAGGGTCAACAAGCCCACAGGAGCGCATTGTAGCTACCAATTCAATCCATTTAAGAATTTATTCAAGAAACTACCCTTATCTGATTCACTCACTGTATTCTCGACACTAACACAAGTCAACATCTTTGATCATGCGATGTTGTATGGTCCAATGACACTCGTAAAAGAGGATGTTGGTGTTTACCACAGTGAGAGTCAAGCAAAAGTAAATAGGAACCTGCAGCAGATGTATGAAAAATAAAGTTATATACTCGTTGATTAGTTTAACGGCAACATATAGGTCAATAAGAAAGCATAGCTGTCACGACTCTGAAACGTGCTTGCTACATCAGTACAACATCAGAAATAAACTTGTTACTAATGGAACTCTTGACCTAGCAATCAAAAGAATTTGGGGTTTTACAAACGTATAACAGGTGGTATTAAAATTTCACTCAACTGTTCAAATGAAAACTTCAACAGAATAAGTTCCAAAAAAAAGCTTCTGAAGCAACCAATCCAACACTTAATGTAAATTTGTTTTTTTTTTTTTAGCATTTGAAGCAGCAGAACAATACTTGGAACAACAAAAAACCTCAACAACTGTAGCAATTTATCAGGGTTCAGAAAGCAAAACATTGTACATAGGTAGCAAGCTGAGACCAAACCAGAATCATCATAAAACAAAAACCACATAAAAAGTTACCAACTTTGTTACAAATTTACAATAAATCAGCACCTACAAATACAGCTTAAATTTTCTAACACCAAAAATTCAAGGTTTCAATTTCTAACAGATTAATATGAAAAGGGGATAATCTGATTTCATAAACCAGGAAAATATAATACGCATTTCTCTGAAAAGTAAAATCTTGCTCAAATTTTGCGTACCTGAGTCAGAAATTTCGACAAATCTGGAAGCTTTTGGATTTGGGGATGATTGATACGTAAGAAAGAGGGGAAAGTTGAGGGAAAGCTAGGGTTTCTGAGGGCCGGATTGGTGGGAAAAATTAAAAATTGGGGGGAAGGAGGAAGAACGATCCGGGATCGTTCGGAATCGTGAGTCGCGAGTGGAATAGGTTCGACTCGATTGCTCGACCCGCCGATTTTTAGGGTTTCTGTTCTTTATGGTAAACATATTAATTCTGTATTTTATGTTTCACTATTTAATACAAATAATTGATTTGAGAAAAAAGAAAAAGAAAAAAAGATCAAATAATTGATAGCTTTTATTTTCTTTTAAAATTTTAAAAGTTCAATAAGTGAGTGTTGAGTTTGACTCAGTGAGTGCATAATTATTCGCTCAATCGTGGCTAAAGGTCTTTTGCGGCAGTTAATTGTCCTTTTGCTTAATCAGGTTTTATAATGACACGTTGTGTGCTTTAACATTCAAATCCAATTTGTACGTTAATTGCAAATAAAATTTGTGTGCTAAAAAACAGAAAATTTGATTAAACTAATGAGACAATTACGTGGGAAATTTATTTGATTTTATGATACGTTTGGAGTGGAGGATTCATGAATTTTTTTTGGGTTGCTGCAAGGGCGCCAGAGGGATTAAGGAATGAAGTTAAGATAGAGAAATTTAAATGAAATGGAGGAATAAACCAAAAATGGTTGTTGGTATAGGGAAGTAAAAGAGATTTGCAGTTATGCACCACCCTACCTTGCCGAGCTGTTAAATAAACAAAATTTCGTTTGGGAGGGGGATTTTTCGAGATATGTGGGCAGCTCTTACCGTGAATGGGTCTACCCTTGTGTTTACTTAATAAGAATAAACAGGCCATGAATCGAGGAAACCATAAATGGAAGAGGAAAAATTGTACGTGGGATCATAATCTATCAAATTCACCAAGAGCTTTACTAAGAGAGGGCATTTCATATAATTCAAATCTAAATGCACAAATTGCCTTAAAAGTTGATAACATATACAATAAAATAAAATCTGCAATTTATACGGGGTATGTGTGTATCAGTCCCCTTCTGTTGAGAGATTCCTGTAAGTTTATTTAAGAGATCTTTTGTAGGACCTACTATACACCGTATTTTAACGATTCAACTGTTCATCTATTATGTATTCTTTCAAAGATCACATCTACCAAAAAACACTTAAGTTCAAAATCATTGGACCGTTGGATTAAATAGTAGTCATAATAGTTTTTCTTTAAAAACCATATAAGTCTATTTTCTTCATTACAATTGGATGTCTATAATAATTTTGGATTTGTCTAATTTCTTTTGCAAAGTTGATCTACGAATAATGTTCTAGAATATGAACGGTTTCGATCGTTGAAAAATGTTACGGAATATGCACCACACTGTCACCAGTGTGTATGTATATGTATATTCTATCAGTATATCAGTAAGAAGAACATTATGTAGGTTGTGATATAATCTTTCCTCAAGTAAGTTGTGATGTATTTTCTTGAGAACCAGATAGCATTCCCACTTACCAGTAATCTTTACAAGAACATTCTCCCCCTTTAAAATGGTGGAAGCGATTTCTATCCCTCACGATTATTTCACGGTCGAAAACCTTCGAGATTAGCTTGCTTGCCTGGTGGCAGTCTTTGCAGACTCGTAAATTCTTCGATATACGAAGAGTTTCCCTGGGTTTTGTCTTCAACAGGCCAAATGCAATTGCAAGTTTCTCACTGTGATAGTATAAAGGGTTCTCCCTTTCCTCCTCGTCGAGATCATGCAACACTCCCTCTGTGTCCGGAACATATCCTGCAGATCTTATACATTTCAACATTTCATCCACTTTCAAGTATATCTCTTTTGTCTGAGGATGAGACCCTCCGCCGGCAATGAATTCACTGACAGTGCCTTCCAATTCAATCATGGAAAATCCAGGAACCTTCTTCACTCCTCTGTCATTCATCAACCTCCTCACATTGGCAACGTCGTCCCATCTGCCCGCTTTTGCGTATAGATTGGCTAACAACACATAGCGCCCGCTATTTTCTGGTTCCAGTTCGATTACCCTCCTCCCTATTTCGTCTCCCAGTTCAACATTTCCATGGATCTTACAAGCTCCGAGGAGAGCACCCAAGACACCTACATCGGGGCTCCTAGGCATCTCGTTTATTAGCTTTCTTGCTTCCTCCAGCCTCCCGGCTCTTCCAAGAAGATCAACCATGCAGCCAAAATGCTCTGTTCTGGGCTCAATACCGTGGACTTCAACCATGCTGCGGAAGTACTGCTGCCCCTTTTCTACTAACCCCGAGTGAGCACATGCACTAAGAACATTAACAAAAGTAATGTTGTCGGGAGCTACCATGTCCCTTTGCATCTGCTCGAAAAGCTCAATGGCTGCCTCACCTTTCCCGTGCATTGCTAGCCCTCCAATCATGCAATTCCATGAAGAAATCCCTTTACGGGGCAAACCATTGAAAACTTCAAAAGCCTTCTCCAGGCAGCCACATTTGCAATACATGTCAATGATCGTTGTTGCAAGTTTCGAGTCCAATTCAATCCCACTTTTCTCAATATATCCATGTATCCACTTCCCTTGTTCTAGAGCACCTAAACCTGTACAAGCTGATAACATACTAGCCGCCATGAACTTATCCAATTCTACGTTTTCCACGCGCATTCTTTGAAACAAAGCAAACGCCTCATGAAAACGACCACTCTGGACATAAGAGGAAATCATTGCATTCCAAGATACAGAATTCTTCTCGGGCATCAACTTGAACATTTCAAAAGCCTCATCGACAAAGCCCCACTGGGAGTACCCAGTAATCAAAGTCGTCCAAGACACGACATCCACCCGGGGCATCTTGTCAAACACCCTTCTAGCTTCCTCTAAAGACTGAAACTTCACATACATGTGAATCAAATTGTTCTGACAAAACCCATCATCTCCAAACCCGAGTTTAATGACATGGGCATGGACTTGTTTCCCTTCTGCAACAGCACCATCAGCGCAACAAGCTCGTACAACAGACGGAAACGTGAACCTATTTGGAGTCACAAAGTCCTGCAACATCTGCGAGTACAAAACAATGCAATCTCTCGGCAATTGGCACTGCAAGTAACCTCTCATTACGGTGTTGTAAATAAATGCGTCCGGTTGAGGCATTGCGTCGAACACCTGGAGGGCATAACCCAAATCGCCATTTTTGGAGAGGGCGCAGAACTTGATGACCCGGCCCATAGCGTCGTTGTCGGTGGCGAGGCCGAGCCTGATGACTTGGGAGTGCAACTGCTTGAGCTCCGCCATGGTAGAGCATGATTCCAGGCCGCGTAACGGTGAAATGTGGGTCCTGGGCGAACTTAGGGAGGGTGGGGTGGGCCCGGTGGGTTGAAGGACTTGCAGCGAAGTCATTTGTATGTGGAGTGTGTGAGTTCTAGCTCGTCGGCACCTTGTACTTTGTGTGTGCGCATCAGAGATTCAGAGATAAGATATTGCGGGGCCCAGAAATATTTTTCTTTTTCTACATAAAATTAGTCACAAGTACGACTAACAATATAACTAGAAAAAAAAAATACAATTAATAATTTAACTCAATAGTATTGGAAGAGAATCTTCTCCGAGTCTACTTTGCAGGGATCCTAGCGATCCTTATATTTTAACTGTTTATCGTATATTGTATGGTCAGTTTTTGTCAGGTACTATTTGTGTTTAATTTTAAATAAAAATAATCAAATAATTTTTTACCGTACAATACACGATGAATAATTAAAATGTGAGTATTTCCACAATTTGAATCCGGATATAATCCAATTCCATTAGTCTTATCATTTGTAAAAAAGAATTAGCTACAAGTAGACATAATACTCATGAGCATTATTTTCTATTTATAGGAGGTAATTTCAATAAAAAGAATTCTAATTTATTATAACACGACATATATATTTCTTTGACTAACCAACCTAAATCACACTTATATAAAACGAATAATTATATTAGCATGCCAAGAATTTTGTTTTTTGAGTATAACGATATATTTTACATTAAGGGGAGGAGAATTCAGCTAAGTCATACAATGACAACCTATTTAGGAATTGTTAATTTTGGAACTGTTTGAAAAACTTCGAAGACAAGAAAAAAGGGCAAAGATGTTTGGTAGGGTTAAACAGTCCTCACAACAAATGGAGACTACATGTGATCAGATGAGATCAAAATATATAGGATCCTATATTTTTTGAAAAATACTCTACAAATAACGTGATCAGTGCACCCATGCAAGTGTTTCTCCCGAGGAAGTTTCAACTTCTAAAAGTCTCGCATACGTAGATTTTGACTTGGAGGTCAACTAATACTGGATATATATCTACCTCTAAATATATGGTGCATGCTATATTAAAGGGGGAGTAAGATAGTGATCTCATTTTTGTATTTTTTGATATCTCATGAAGATTGACGTCCTCCAACAAAGCAGGAACTCCTTCCGGACCAACTAATTTAACTGCCTCTTAACCACCATCCCATATCATGAGAATTCTTGTCCTGAGGCCTTAAAAGTCACCCCCTAAATTTGGGCACTCCACAATGCATGCACATATAAGAGCTCCATCTCCATGCTTTCAAAGCTTCATCTTCTCCATCCCCATCACCCAAATTTTGATCTTTTCTCGTCGAAAATCGCGTGTCATAAACCCAATCTATGGAGAAGAGAGGAAAGCTGGTGGTAGGAGGAGTTTCCATCATCCTTATCGTCGGCGTAGTGATCGGACTTGTAGCTGTTGTTTGCACAAAAAAGAGTAACAAGGACCAACTTTCCACAAGTTCTAAGGCCGTTGCTGCTATTTGTGATCCTACGGATTACAAAGAGGCGTGCATCGACAGCCTTGGATCCGTCGCGAAAAATGATAGCGCTACGCCCAAAGACCTCATCCAGGCCGCCATTGATTCCACAATTAAAACCATGAAGTCTGCGATAGAGAACTCTAGCAGCATTGCCAAATCCTTTAAAGCGATCAACTCGACGGGTAAAATGGCGATGGACGATTGCAAGGACTTGTTGGAATCGGCAATTGCCGATCTCCAAGCCTCTTTTTCGTTCGTTGGGGATAGCAACATGCACACAATGCACGACAGAGAGGAAGAGCTGCGGAATTGGTTCAGTGCGGTGATATCGTTCCAACAATCGTGCCTCGACGGCATTCCTCAGGAGGAGCTCCAAAAGCTCATGAAAGATAGCCTTCTCAACGCCACGCAGCTGACCAGCAATGCCTTGGCAATTGCCTCATCAATTGCACAAATCTTAGAGAACTTCAACATCACATTGAACAAAGACTTAAGGCCAACGAGCAGCTCGCGGAGACTTCTCGAGCAAGAAAACGACGGGCATGACCAGTACCCTAGTTGGTTTCCAGCCGCGGACAGACGGTTGTTGGCAAAACAAGACAATGGAGGGGTTAAACCTAATGCCGTAGTGGCGAAGGACGGGAGTGGACAGTTTAAGACTATTGGTGCTGCCCTTGCTGCATATCCAAAGGGGCTTCAAGGAAGATATATCATATATGTGAAGGCTGGGGTTTACAATGAGTATGTTACTGTCACCAAAAATCAGATCAATGTGTTCATGTACGGAGACGGACCCCGGAACACAATGGTCACAGGAAGTAAAAGCTTTGCCGATGGCATCACCACTCAGAACACCGCCACATTCGGTGAGTCATCTGTTAGATATTATCGCTACTACTAGGGTTACCAAATGTGCTCACTAAATAACGCGACATATGTACTTACGATAGAGAAAGGCTTGTAATAATTTTTTTAATGTAATCACAGCTGCAATTGGAAACGGATTTCTAGCAAAGGGGATGGGATTTCAGAACACGGCAGGCGCCCAGAAGCATCAGGCTGTGGCACTGCGAGTCCAGTCGGAGATGTCAGCCTTCTTCAACTGCAGAATGGACGCCTACCAAGACACGTTGTACGCGCAAACACATCGCCAATTCTATCGAAACTGTGTCATTTCTGGCACAGTTGACTTCATCTTTGGTGACTCGCCAACGCTGATCCAAAATTCTTTGATCATAGTGAGGAAGCCTATGGACAACCAAAAGAACACAGTGACGGCTCAGGGAAGAGAGGACAGGAGGGAAAACACCGCCATTGTCATCCAGAACTGCAGAATAGTCCCTGAGGAGGTTCTGTTCCCATTAAGGTTCAAGATTCCATCATACTTAGGCAGGCCATGGAAGACGTATGCAAGGACGGTGATCATGGAGTCGGAGCTCGGAGACTTCATACAACCAGCAGGGTGGCTACCCTGGAGTGGCAACTTTGCACTCGATACTCTATATTACGCAGAGTATGGGAATCGGGGTCCAGGGGCTGCGACCAACCAAAGGGTGCGATGGAAGGGATATCATGTGATTAACAGAAATGACGCTCTCCAGTTCACCGCCGGTCCATTTCTATTGGCGGATCGGTGGTTGAAAACCAGCGGCATACCGTACTTTGCCGGTTTGAAAACCTAGCTCTCTCACGAGATCTCACTTCAAACTAACATCTGTTTGATTTAAATTGATGGAAGGATGGCGCTGTTGATTGTCACCCCACCTAGTGATAACAGGTAGCAGAAAAGAAGCCCTTTTGTCTCTGCATTTTTTTTCTTCGCATTTTACTGTATGTATTTGAACAGTTTTTTTATTAACTTTTGTATAGAATTTAATCTCACAGTAAAATCCCCTCTTACAGTTTTCTTCCCCACTCTTAAGAAATTTCATGATCCTTTTCAATTGCTATAGGCAGAGTACATTGTGTTTTTTTAGTACAACGATTTATTTTACACTAAGAGGAGGGGGAGTTCGGCTAAGTCACACAATTAGCGACCTAAGTTGATATCGAATTTGCCATTCACGAGATTCGAATTTAAGCCTCTCACTTACAAGTGAAGAGGAATACTATCAGACCAGAGTACATTGTGTTTGTTTCCCTTTCTTTCTATCTTTTGGTGAAAAGAAAGCCAAAAGGGAAGAGAGATTTTCACTCTTACCTTGGAAGCGAAAAAGATTTACCTACCGGTACATCACCGCGGCATCTAGGACAAATACAGCTATGTCTTGTGCTTGAAAAAGACTTGCCTACACCACTGGTACGTCACCGTGAGTTGCTTTTTTGTTTGAGTCAAAGTATTTTATGTTAAATTTTTATAGTAAGAGAAAGACAAAATAAGAGAATGTCAGAAGAGATAATGGAAAGGGATGGAAAGAAGAGGAGAGAGAACCCTAGTCCGTTCAAGAAACGAAAAATGTGGTGTGAAAGTACAAGCATTTCAGTAAAAAATGATTGCCCCTTATTTTGTATGTCATCAAACCCCACCAAAATTAAAAGCCGGCCGCATTCATGGGCATCTTTTCTCGTTTCTTTTTCTTCTCAAAATATTGGCATGAAGAAATGCATTTCCTTTCCCCGACCGAAAATTTATGCAAGTAAACTTGACATCTCAACAAAAAAACCATTTTCTTTTTCGATTTCTTGTACCGTTGTTTTGGTGGTGCCGTGAAGGCCGAATACACGAAACAGAAAAGTGATCGGAAGATGAGCACGGTATTCCGAGGAGCAGATGACAGAGGAACATACAATACGATGGATACTGGGGAAGAAAATAGTTTATAGCACAACAAATACGAGAGAAGGTTAAATAAACTTGAATTTCGGACAATCAGATGCGTAAAAACGACCATTAGGTCAAGTCAACGAGGAACGACACTGAATTACAAGGTAATTTTGCGCTTTTACAAGACAAATGGGTTTTGTTTTTGAGCTTCATGCAAGCACCAACAAAATGAAGAAGAAAAAATAAAAGAATTTTTCGATATCAAAACGACTCTGAAGAATCAATTCAAACCATGGCAGAATTACTCTGAAAACAACCCGACGTCCTAAAACAACCTGATGTCTTTCGGGAAATCACACACCATGTCAAATGACACTCGTAACGAACAGCTTGGCTAGACAAAACATTAGAAAGAAAGCAGCAAAACCGGCAAGGATGTAAGGAACAAGAAAAGGACACATTTTTAGCCAGTGAATTTGATGAAACACCGGTTCTGAAGTCCTAAGAAACATGTCAACTTTCTAGCATCTCCTTAAAAAGCGTCGAAAATCCGGACACAATACATTAGCACACAGCAAGCAAGGTCATCACACAAATTGGAGTGGATAAAGCTTAATGAACCACAAAATTTCGCTTTTGAAATTGGAAAAATGCAATTTCTGAGCATGAAAAGGAGGAACAGTGTAGATACAGAGAGGCACAGAGAACCGTCACCACATCGAAATTCAGCTACACAAAACTGTATGGAAAAGTAAATATGAGTACACAACCACAATCTGATCTACAATGTCTCCCTAAAAGTTCCCAGGCCGCCGTGCATAAATTACGAAAAAGAACCAACTGCAACTAACAGAGAGACTCACAGGTTGACAGAGGCTGTGTAGCAGCTCAAGCGGAAGCCGA